AGGTGTCTTACCTGTCAGCAAGTCAAAGCCGAGCATCAGAGTCCGATTGGCCTCCTTCAGCCACTGTCGATTCTGAAGTGGAAGTGGGAGGAAGTCACTATGGATTTCGTTACGGGATTACCGAGGTCGTCTGAACATCACGACGCTATCTGGGTCGTGGTCGACAGATTGACCAAGGTCGCTCAATTCTTACCCGTTTCGATGAAGATGTCTCTGGACAAATTGGCTGAGATATATACCCGTGGGATCATTCGACTCCACGGAGTGCCCGTCACGATTGTATCAGACAGAGATCCCAGATTCGTCAGTCGATTCTGGCACAGTTTGCATGAGGCGATGGGCACGAAGCTTGAGTTCAGTACAGCCTACCATCCGGAGACAGATGGTCAGTCAGAGCGAACTATTCAGACACTTAAGGATATGCTTCGCGCTTTGGTTGTTGACAGAGGTGCTAAGTGGGAGTCACTGTTGCCGTACGCTGAGTTCACGTATAACAACAGTTATCATTCTTCTATTCAGATGGCTCCTTACGAGGCACTATATGGTCGCAAGTGTCGTTCCCCTCTCTATTGGGACGACGTTGGAGAGCGGCGAGTACTCGGTCCTAAGATGATCGAGGAGACAGTAGAGCAGGTCGAGTTGATACGGCAGAGATTCAGGACAGCACAGAGTCGACAAAAATCTTCCGCCGATCAGCATTGACGAGATCTTCAGTTCGAGGTTGGCGAGCCAGCCTTTCTCAGAGTTCGTCCGATACGCGGAGTTGTGCGATTCGGAAAGAGAGGGAAGCTGCACCCTCGTTTCATCGGTCCGTTCGAGGTTCTCGAACGAGTAGGCGAGGTCGCGTATCGTCTAGCCCTACCTCCCGAGTTATCAGGCATTCATAATGTATTTCACGCATCGATGATTGCGTAAGTACGTGTGCGACCCCGATCATGTTATTCCTCATACGGATATTCAGGTTCAGTCAGATCTTACGTACGAGGAGCGACCGGTAGCTGTACTAGACCGTCAGGTTCGTCGGCTCCGAAAGCGAGATATTCCCCTTGTACGTATTCAGTGGGATCGCCACGGAGCTACTTGGGAGGAAGAGTCTGACATTCGCGCTCATTTCCCAAATTTTCAGTTTTGATGTACATATTCTTTATCCTATGTACACAGTTCATGTATATCAGTCATGTTATGAATTTCCGAGGACGAAAATTTTGTAAGGAGGGAGGATTGTAATATCCCGATATTTTATCGGTATAATTATGTTTTAATTCTAATATAATAATGTTATCGATTATTATTTTCAGAATTAATTATGTTCAGTCGTTAATACCGAAATCTATTTTCGACGTACCATTTACGTTCGAAATAATTTTGGTAATTCAGTATTATGTTTAATTAAATGATTAAACATAAAATAAGTGATTAATTACGAATTAATCACAAGTTAAGGCCCATTAGCCGTGAGATGTTAAGAATTGGTCCCAATT